TCACTTACTAGCGAAAAGTTGTTCCATCATTTCACTCAATTTTTGCCGAGATCTACCGCACGCTACACAACCAACTATTTTAGAGTCTTTTTCGATAAATCGCGAGAGTGTCACTGTTAATTTAAGTTCTGCCACAATTTTCATCTAGATTTACTACCTTTATACAACTATCAGTAGTAGAATAAATAATAAATAACATAAAATAAGCTCCGTAAAGACTGACAAATCCACAAAATTTCAAATCAAATTCAAATGTGTCAAATGAATCGTCAAACAGAACTGTCAAGGATCCCCACCCTAGAGAGCTTTTATGGTGGCTTTTCCGCCCACCATGCATAAATACATGGATAGCATTATGCTCCTTCCTTAGTCTTCTTAATCAAAGCGGTGTACCTAAGATTTTTGATATGCTCCTTCCTTAGTCTTCTTATTCAAAGGATATCTGCCATAGGACCGATCGGTAACTATGACAACAACAATTAACACATTTTTAATATATACAAATACGTATCGAGAGCTGTCATAACTTACCGATACCGACGATTGTCGATGCCGTGTACAGAATAGCGCCCCTGGGTAAAATTAAAATAAATCCCAATCTTTTCTTTGAAACCCTTTATTTTCTCTGATAATTGAGATATTACAGTGAATAAAAAGATCGGGATAAATATATATGATATAAAATCAAATCATTTAAAAATAGCCATAAGTCATCATATTTATTCAGTCAGAGAAATTGATGCCAAACTTAATATACGGGGTTGTTCACCACATATCACACGGAGTATTGTAGCTAAACGACTGGATTTTTACAAATTGTAAGTTTTGGGTTCGTTGAAGGTCTATTAGAGCTACAATTTAAAAATATTTTTACAAGATACAGAGTGTCACAAATAAGTAAGAAATATTATAGTTGTATTTTTTAAAATGGAACACTCTATATATTCTTCTATTTTTAGATTCTACGATTGAAATAAAGGAAAATTTGATAAATGTGTATCACACCTTAAACCTTACCGTTTTTGAAATATTTTCAATTTTATGAAATTGCAGTAAAAATTTTAAGGCATCATTTCTCCAAGGGTATCAAAGTTTTTAATACTAAATATATACTGAAGTTTATTTATTGATCAGATATTGTGTTGCAATAATAAACAAAATATTACATTTTACAGAGTGTTTAAAAATATATGTTACATAATTACTAGCTTTAAACGGCAATAACTTGTTTAATTTAAATGGAACACCCTGTATATTTTACGAGAATCAGATGCGCAATTTAATTGTCTATCAAATAGTATTATATCATTTTTTACCTATCCCTTCAAGTTTTCGTAGAAAATGTACTTTCTTATCACTTAGACCTTATTTATCACTATACCCATGGAATATTGACATTTTGGATTATTTCTAAAGATGTAAAAAAGAGTACCAGATTGTTGATATAGTTCGCTTATTTCATTAAAATTAAAAAAAAACTGTTTAAATATTTTTTGTCAAAGAGGACCAATTAATATGATCCCAGAATTCAAACTATATTAATTGACTGTTTACGTTGATTAATAAAATTGCTCCAAATACTAAAAAAAAAATTTGAATGTGTATTAGACAGTTTGGTAAAAAGTAACACTTTATAAATTTTATATAATTTTTTGACGAATGCTTATTTATAACAACAGACACGTTCATTTTTATAACTTATTATTATATTGATTTCTGAGTCAAATCCACATTTGTTAAGAATAATTTAATAATTAAAACAATTAAGGATGTAATTAACTAATTTTTGGGCGGAAATAATGGTGGTATATTTAATTGGTATACTCTTTTACAAAGATTTAAATAATTTTCTTTTTGTAAACATATGGGCTTGCAATATTATTATTTTTACCACCTGCACATTTTGTACATATATCCTACATTAATTTTTTTTTTATTTAAAATGTTTCCATGGGTTGGTTTGGTAATAAATGAGGTCTAAATTATAAGAAAATGCATTTTCTATGAAGACTTGAAGAGATCGGTAAAAAATGGCATAATACAATTTGATAGAAAATTAAATTGTGCATCCGATTCACGTAAAATATACAGGGTGTTCCATTTAAACTAAACAAGTTATTGCCGTTTAAAACTATTAATTATTTAATAAAAAAAATTTGGACACTCTGTATAAGGTAGTATAATTGTTATTATTGCAACACCAATATCTGATTAATAAATAACCTTCAGTAAATATTTAGTATTAAAAACACTTGGAGAAATGAAGCCTTAATTTTTTTACTGCAATTTCACAAAATTGAAAATATTTCAAAAACGGTAAGGTTTAAGTGTGATAAACCTTAATCAAATTTACCTTTATTTCAATCGTAGAATCTAAAAAAAAATACAACTATAATATATTTTACTTATTTGGAACACTCTGTATCTTGTAAAATTATTTTTAAATTTTAGCTCTAATAGTCCTTTAACGAAACCAAAACTTACAATTTGTAAAAATTTAATCGTTTAGCTACAATACTCCGTGTCGTATGTGGTGAACAACCATGTAAATATTGTTTTATCAATTTTAAGGGTGGGTGGGTGTATTATGCATCAGAGTTTTCTTGCATTGTGATAAAAGTCTAAATAAAATGGCGCGTTTGCCTGGAAACATTACTGACGTAAATTTGTATTTGTTGTGACATATATATTTCTGTTGTGGTACTTACCTACTTGGCTAGAACTGGAAAAAGGATGTTCGTCGCACGCTAACAGTTGTGATGGTTCAACAGGTATAGGAGTAGACTATATTGTAGATCCGTACCGTAGCTTAATATGTCTTTTTTTATTTGTATTTTTGACCTGAGTTTTCTCATTTCTTCTGGTAGATAGTATAATTAAAAACAGTTCCTCTAATCATATTTCAACGTACAATGGTCAACTGCCACCTTACGGAATGCCATGGTAAATCACCTAGAGTAAGGTCTGTTTAAGGAGTCAGGAAAGATTTCGATACACGACATCCCAAAAATTACAAAAAATACAATTTGCATATAAATTAGAGTGACAGACACACTGCCACTGTCAGAGGTCAGCGATAAACTATAGGTTCCGTGTCTGACTGATGACACATCACAAGTATACTTTATCCAAATCAATGACTAAAGAACACAAAGACTAATAACACCCGAGACCAAATTGTTATCATACCTCCAACCAAAAAATATGGAATATTTTTTCTATGTTTTGCAGCATTACACAAATGGGAATAAATATAAACTATAATAGGTGAGGATAAATAAAAAATATAATATGTGTTTCAAGATTTTATATAGAAAAAAAAACTAAATACCTTTTTGGGGGTTAGTAAGTAAAACTTACGCTTAGCTTAGTTTTCTTTACTCTTTCTCTTTACATAGGGCATTGTCTTTGTGGTAAAGACGTCATTCCTTTTTTTTTGCTTCAATAATTGGATATTCTGAACAAGATGGATTTAATAATAAATTGTGACGTATGTGAGGGGCAATTGTGACCTAAAAAAAGACTTACATCCAGGCCATTTATATTTTCAAATGTCAATGTTGTCAATATCTTCCTGTGATCTTTTTGATGTAAAAAGCTTGATTCTTCTTCCAATATTTTACTTGTAGTGAGGTAAGTGTAAGCAGTAGCCATAACTACCCTCACTAGGGTAACAGAGGCTTTGGCCTTTAGCCTTTTTGAGGCATATTTAATGCACTTCTTACCCGAGAACTACTAGTAAGAGTGAAATTATCTATTTTAATAGCTGTCAACCATTTTTACGAAGCTCGTCATTTTTGGCATGTAAAAGGCATGCTACAAAGAATGAAATACCTATCTTTTGATTATTGTAAGTAACCATTATAAAGTACTATGCAGACTGGCGGCGAAGGCTTTTTACTCATTTAGGTGTAATATCTTGATAAATACTTCTTACCTTAAAATAATTAATAATAGAGGAGTACGACAAGCACAAAAGTTTGAAGTTCCCTATGTGGAATGACTGGTTTGGATTTTTATTACACTGTTATTTTATCACAATTTTCTGATCACACCATGCACTGAACACTAAGAACTAAACAAAGGTGTTGCAGAAGCAAAACAAACTAGAGATAATTAATTATTTCTGGTATGCAATCGGAACGAGAAACCACTACCGGCTTTTCAGGTTAAAGGTAAACAATTTAATAATGCCCTGCCTTCGCCGCCATATTTGCCTTGCCCATATCATGTTGATTGGCCTTGAGTTGAGGTGGTGCTGGTCAAATTAAATTTCAATGTTGCCAGTTGTTGGCTGGCGCACGAGCACGGTTCTGCAATGTGATTGGGCGTATTTTTCATACGTCATCAATTGGCACTTTAAAATTATTTCAAATTAAAGCAATTTTGAGGGCCTATAAAAAAATTATTCAATGTCATGGAACTATTTTTTTTTTGGATAAATATACTGAAAATAGTCTTCTATTTTAGATTTTGTCCTGGAATTGGGTATTTTATTTTTTGTGAAAGAGGTAAATTAAATATTCTGTCTGTCATTTTTTAATGTCACCTGTCGAAATATTTCCTGACTTTTTGGACAGGCTTTATATGAGGGGGATTGTTTACGCTTTATTCATTACACTATTCGAAGAGAGACATCCATTTATTACTCTCTTCTACGAATTTTTTAAGTATGGTTAAAGGGAATTTTGAAAATGAGGGTAATACAAGCTACATGATAATAAATTCTTATTATAATAACATGGTAACTATAATTATTAAGTGAGACTAGCAAGTATTACCTACATCAATACATAATAGAACAAACTCTGTACGCATGCTTACTAAAATATACACTGGTGCTTTATTCTGATGATTTTTTTTCTTTTGTGATGTGCTGGGAAAATAAGAACATGGCGCATGTCCATATAAAACAACGCATAGTTACAAAAAGGAAACAGAAAATATGTATAACGGAGTCATGAGAGATAGCTTCAAAGTTTTTCTTTCTTCTTTTTCAGTCAATTGCTCAATTTTTGGAAGAAAGAAGAAGCAGTACAAGGACAAGTATCTGGCTAAACACAACGCAGTTTTCGACCAATTAGATTTAGTTACCTACGAAGAAGTTGTTAAATTACCTAGTAAGTACTCGTAACAAAAAGATTATTAAATGATTAATCTCTGGGTCCGGCAATAGTGCGTCGGGCATATGTAGCTCGTAGAATAAAAAAACTTGGGAATTTTGTTTAAGCGCAAACGTAAAGTATGTACTAGGATGTATTTCAGGAAAATATTTTAACTTCTATAGGGTGGCTCAAAAAAGTCCGAGTAGATTGGGATGATTTTTTTAATTGGAACGCGCTATATATTATTGCATTTTTGGCCTCCTTTCAGATCACTCTATATAATCCTAAGAATTGAGTAAATATATTTCGATAGTTTCAGAGATATTAAAATATTTAATTAAATTAATAATTAATTATTTTTACAGTGACTGATCCCGCTTTCCAAAGAAAAACACTAGTGTTACTCGGTGCTCACGGCGTTGGAAGGAGACACATAAAAAATACGCTCATAGCTAAACATCCGGATCAATATGCCTATCCTATTCCACGTAAGTATAGTAAGAATAAATAAGTTATAAAATTCAGTAAATAAAATTATTTTACTGAATTATTTAGCTTTAGTGGATTATAAATTTTACTGATCATAAATTTACCTAAGTTAAACTGGTATCTCGGACTTGAATTGTCGTTATTAAATTTTGTAGTTATATTTGGCTGGTTTTAACGACTATAACTCAGGATATCCGAATTAAAGTTTATATTATACCAATATATTGAACTGCAAATTTTGAACTGTGCAAATATTGGCTCCCCTATTAATTTTGCAGCTAAATCGTAAATAGATTTTTAGAGGTTTGCCTATGCTGAATACTAGAGATGAGCAAAACTGCGATTGCGATTTTTAAATCGCAACGGACTGTAACTTGCGATTGCGATTTTAATGTTGAGATATTGTACTAGAGGTATATAATTGTCTGTGTATGTATTTATATCTGTGTATGTATCTATAACAGTTCAAAAGAGTTAATAATAATCAGTTGTTTAGTTTTTAAGTTTTTTAACATCTGCAACACATAGTTCTTTAAATTTTATATATGTATGCTGCAAACTGCGGCAACTACACGTACCTACTTTTTCTACGGTTCTCAATTATTATCTAATTCTTTATCCAATTCTTAAAAAATCTAAAAAAATATTTTTTAAGATGACTCACCTCTATGATTTTTTTATTATTATTTTTTTTTAGAAAATTTTAAAATTGCAATCTTAACCTGCGATTGGCTGTCATAGGAAAATACGATTGCGATTTATTTTACTGGCGATTTAGCCCACGGCCACACAGAAAGCGTTTGTTGCGTTTTTAGCGTGAAGCGTCTTTAGTGACTAAAACAAAATAACCGAATTATATAGGAGTGGCCATACCAAAAGCGTGTAACGTTCGGCGTGTCTCGCAAAAAACACAAATGAAAACAAATCAATTTGTTTTCTGTAGCGTCTTTAGCGTTTTCTAAGATGAGACCCCGTCATAGGCGGACGTTATATTTAATAATACAATAAAAATAAATTAAATAGTATGCATTTTTTTTTCATTTTAGGGTATTATCTAAAAATATTTTTATAAAGAACATCTACTGTTTAGGAAGATTCTATTAAATTCAAAAATTTGAAGGAAATGTTTGAAAAAGTGTAGTTTCAAATGTTGAAAAAGTAATAAATTAAAGGAATATTTTTTTACGCTTAAAAAATAGTTTTTTTATGTGTAAAAAGTGTTTTTTTTCTGCGTAAAAGTTTTTTTAACAGTAACAAATAGTTTTTTTACACGTAAAAATATATTTTTGGGTAAAAGAGGCTTTTACTAGAAATAATAAGTTTTTGACGCGTAAAAATTAGTTTTTTACGTGTAACAAATAGTTTCTTACACGTAAAACATATTTTTTTTGCGGAACAAAAGGTTTTTTTACCAGAAACAATAAGTTTTTGACGCGTAAAGAATAATTTTTTAACTGTAACAAATAGTTTTTTACACGTAAAAAATATTTTTTTGTGTAAGAAAGGTTTTCTACCAGAAACAATCATTTTTTGACGCGTAAAAAATAGTTTTTTACGTGTAACAAATAGATTTTTACACGTAACAAATAGTTTTATAAACGTAAAAAATAGTTTTCTACCGGTAACGAATAGTTTTATACGCGTAAGAAATAGTTTTCTATCAGTAACAAATAGTTTTATAAGCGTAAAAAGTAGTTTTTTACGTGTAACATATTTTTTTACACGTAATAATTTGATTCACTTTTACAAAATCTATATTCAAATATCAATATTTTTGATAAACTCGTGGACTGCTCACAAATACACATCGCGTCACTACGTATTTCTAAGCCGTTAACACGTTTCGTTACAACGAGCTCGTGTGTCAGGGCCGTCTCACTAGCTCGTATGTCACGGCTTTGAATTTTTACTCCCAGCGCGCATAAAGAAGTTTCACTCCAAAAAGTTTCATAAATCATGTTCTAAAATTGCATTAGCAACTAGAAATATTTACTATTATATTATGTAATAATCATTATTTATTATATTATATTATAATTATAACAAGTACTAACCACAACACTACAACATAAAAAAAATATACACATATAAACAAAAATTCGTAAAATAAATGACAAACAATTATTATTATTTTTACACACACCACTGGTACTAGCAGTAGATTGTATTTGTCTCCGAATATATGCCCCGGCCCGTCCACAATTCAATCCCAGCATCTTTTATCTTCGTCTCTTCAACGCTAACGGCGCCGATCTCGCCTATCTCTTTCTCACAGGATTGATTGTTGGACGGGCCGGGAATCCACGAGCTTGTGACGTTACTAATTGACATCTTGATAGAAACTGCAGACCTGCCGCGTCTTTTGCGTGTTTTTAATGGACACAAATCGAAAAAAGCGCTTAAAACGGTAAAATCGCAAAAAGCGCTTGAGACGCAAAAAACGCAAAACGCCAAAAACGCTTTCTGTGTGGCCGTGGGCTTAGGCAACGAACTTGCTGCGACTTGAGATTTTGCTGCGATTGTGATTTTATAAACTGGAACCGTGATTTCTATCTGCGATTTTAAATTTTTAGGAGGTCTATTGAAGCATTTTATAGTAAACTGCGATTGAATTTTTTCTGTGATATTATTTATTTATCGAGAAAATTATATAATATATATTTTTTCTGATAAAAAACCCCTATAACTTTTTTATTTTTTTTTCTGATAAAAAACAGATTTGGTACGTTAGTATATGACATAAATGAGGATTGATGGACTTATTCAATTGATTTGTATTCAATTCTGTTTCACCGTAAATAACTACAACTTTTGATTTTTTAATGAACCTTCGGTATTTTTTGATGTATTTTTATTACTTTATTGAATAGAAAAAGGAATAAAAATATCATATATTATCAACTTTTAACATTTTTTTCGCATATGGTTTAATTGTTTATTGTTATGGTTTAATTGGTTCATAACGACAATTTTACTCGAAATACCAAGTGTACCTATGGTACCAAATTAATAACAATAGATGATAAATGAGGATTGATGGATATAAATGAGGATTGATGGACTTATTCAATTGATTTGTATTCAATTCTGTTTCACCGTAAATAACTACAACTTTTGATTTTTTAATGTACCTTCGGTATTTTTTGATGTATTTTTATTACTTTATTCAATAGAAAAAGGAATAAAAATATCATATATTATCAACTTTTAACATTTTTTTCGCATATGGTTTAATTGTTTATTGTTATGGTTTAATTGGTTCATAACGACAATTTTACTCGAAATACCAAGTGTACCTATGGTACCAAATTAATAACAATAGATGATCCCAAAGACATCTAAATAGGTAGACAGAACACTCCATTCATAAAACTCAATTTTTTAGAATCATATATGGTTTGACACTTTTATGAGAGTTAAAAAGAGATGGGTACATAAATATGACAACACGGTTGAGTTTCGTCTATCTTTCTGTCATTTGGCTCTATCAGTGGCGTAACGGTGGCGTGATGTTTTTTTATTAAAAATTGATGAATTTTATCAAAAATTGATTGGGATTGCCTCAGACCAATTTTCCATTATAACTAGTTTTGCCTGTTATTGAGTGTAATTAATTTCACAATCGAAAGCGCCAACAAATAAGAAAATATACGTATTTTTGTCAGGGGCGGCTTGTCCTATGAGGCAGTGCCTCACCAATACATTTGAAAAATTACACGTATTAATCGATACCATCTTTAATCACAATTTTATATTTTTTTCCCTATTTGCATCAATAATAATTGTATTTTTTATCCGTCATTCTACAATAAATTACGTCGATGGTATTCCTTTAAATGCGCTTCCTTTCCCATATGCGACAAACTCGACGTACTCGACGATGTATATCCATCTCATTTGTTCTTTAAGAAGTATATGTGCAGAGGTTTGCCTCTCGCCTTTCCTTGTCTAGCGTATTGTGGTATATCGCACTGACGGAGCGACAGCGTTCACTGGAATCTTAAATATATAGACTGAAAAGAAAAAGCATAGGCAAAACCTTTAGTTGAACAGAGATAAAATGTATGGAGTAGTGGCGCGTAAAAAGACTGTATTGAGGCGAGCCTCAAATGTAAATTTAAACCTTAAAAGCCGTTCGTTAAAAATATGTATCACTTCCCGATCAGCCCGAGAGATTTTAGGCGACAGACTGAAAATGCAGAATTCCATTATTTGGGAATTTGGATTAGTTTGAATCAGAGTTTGAATTAACTCTGCCGGTTATTGCACTGTTTTGTCTCTTAACTGATTAATATATACGTTTTTTAATGTGAATTGCATGTTTAATTACTCGTCTTACTGATTAGGTATTACGTATTAAGTAAATACCTAAAAAGTGGGCAGTGACTTGTTGATTGATATGATGATTTAGAGGGACCATGCATCATCAGAGGACTTCCCCAGGTAAAGTTTTTAGAATCATTTCTAGATAAATTGTGTAAGTCAAAAAGTAAAGCAACCTGTTTCAGATTTCATTTTGTTTTATTTTTATAGGATGGGTGGAAAAATAAAATTTTACCATACAGATTAAAATACAAGACAAAATATCCTGAGGTCGCTTTGATAAAAATTTACTGTTGCAATAGCCCTATGTAATAGGTATAATACTGCGAATTATATTACATAGGGCTATTTCCGCAACTGCTAAAAATTTATAAATATTTTAAATAAAAAAATGTGCGCTTTTTAAGTCTGTAGGTATCTAAAATACTAAAAATAATATACAGTGTGTATTGCATTTAAACAAATTGAGATATAGCATTATAATATTGCAATGTTGGCCGTGCCATAAAAAAATCCCTGTATAAAATAATTCTAGGATTTCTTCTTTTGTCCTACATACCTCGCTATATAGTACATACTTAAGCAATAATAATATATCAATAAGTTAAATTCACACCAGGTTTTTACCACTTTCTAAAAAATTAAATTTTTGAAATATGAATTATCATGGAAATCCCGCATATATAGTGCTTCAAATAAATCAATAGTGTGATGTATGCTGAATTTTATGTTGAGCCCAATTCTGTACAGAAAAATGGTAATGCGATTGCAATTTTAAAGAAAATATTTTTTTAGGATATGCACTTTTTTATATAGAACTTTTTTTTCATATATTTGTCAACTACGACGATATTGGACTTCCTCGTACTAATGGCCACCCTATATACATACTAATAAAAATTCTCTTCTAATGTGCCTCACCATCTTCCAGTGCTACGAGCCGCCCCTGATTTTTGTAATAATCTACTTATAACTAAAAGTGTCTAAATACGCTAATGTAAGCTGGCTAAAGGTAAAAAAAACGTAATGACACTTACCGTCGAAATATCAATTCCGGGTTAGAATAGTCCACCTTTTTACAAACTATGCACTGGCAAACCATCGTAGATAGTTAAAAACTACGTTAAATAGTTTTCTTTGCAATAAACACTAATAATTATTAGAAAGTTGTTCAAAAGCTACAAAAACTTTCAACTACCGCAGAAAACTCAAAACCGCGCGCTGTCAAATATCAGTTGAATGAAAACAAATGAAAACGTCAAATGTCAGCGTAATTCCTACAGATTTCGACAATTTCTTAGTAAAGATGAATCCACAACGATGCCGCTAGTTGTCATTGTAATTTCCCTAATATAATGTAATTAGAAAACTAAAAATAATTTCAATGGTATTATAATCCTGGCACAATCTATGTATATTAATTAAAGTTTTATACCTATACAAATATTTAGTTTAACGTTTCTATAGATACCCAAAAAACATTAATAACAATAATAACATTTGGAACTCGAACCGTATTCTATCACATACCGCGTAAATCTGTTATCATCGATTTTTGCGGAACACGGTTCGTGATCGCGATAAAATGTAAATTATTTTGTCTCCCTTTATTTAGATGTCTTTGGATGATCCATTCTATTTTTCCAAGGCATATTGATTAAAAATTAGTGTTTTTAACACAGCCATGACATTCTAGATTGAAATTTAAAATACGATTTTTTAAGCGAAAATGTCAAAAGTTACCATATGATATGTCATTCTATTCAGAGTGTCATTTTCTATTGAATGAAGTAAAAGAATACTGAGGGTGCCATTTAAAAATCAAAAGTTGTAGTCAGTTCCCTTGAAAGAGGAAGTGGCCAAAAATAATTGAATACGTCGATCAATCCTCATTTATGTCATATACTAACAGACCAAATCTCGATTTTCAAATTTATTACAGGACATTCTTTGATTATAGTTGGGGGTTGGAACCTTAGCAAAATAAAACACCAATACACCAAAACGCTTACTTTTACAATGCACTTTTACTCATCAGCAGATAATTAAAACTGAGTAGTTTTAATCATCTGCTGAAACGCGCGTCCAGTGTAAAAGTAAAAGTGTTTTGGTGTATTGTGGTGATTTAGTGTTTTATTTTGCTTTTGAGGACATTCTTATAAAATTATGAAAAAATGATCTTAGTTTTCTTTTTCTTTTTGTCGTAATTTGTGGAGATATTTATGGTTTTACCAGTTTCATGATCTAATCGTCGTTTTAAAAATGAACTCTTCCAATACCGTGGTCTCTTTCATCTTGGATTTTCACACTCAATGCATTGGAGTATCAAAAATCTATGTAATAAATTAATAATCAAGAGAAAAAGGCATGGTGAAAACTGTTCATTTGGTAGAAACTTCAGATAACATTTTTAAAACAAAAGATGCGGTTTCAGTACATTTGGTGAATTTGGAGATTGTTTTCGAAACTGAAAACATGTTCCTTTTTCTGTTTTTGTAAACATAACTAGTTATAATGGAGCACAGTTTATAAATGAATTGTAAATATTCAACGGTGAATAATTGGTTCATCAGTTAGATTGTGCCACGAGAACTCTATTGAGTTTCTTTAGAGAAGTTTTCCAAGTTGTTGTTACTTCAGTGCTTTGTTTGCTAAAAACAGTATTGTTTTGAATAAAAAAGCCTTTTAGATTTTAGTTTGTTCTAGTGTGGTTTTCTGTAAATAACTCTCAACCTCGAACCACTAAATGCCCTGTTGATTTTATCAAACATGGTGTACTATTCTTGATTTTTTTATCTTTCTCTATATTGTGTATTAGTGTAACTGTTCCTTAACTCTAATTTCTGGTGATCTATTTTAAAGAATATTACTCTAGAGAAGCGTTTAGTATTTAAAATCTATTAACAGTGTTTTTTTTATAGATACAACGAGGCAGCCTAGAGCTGACGAGGAAAATGGACGTAACTATTTTTTCGTCACTCATGACGAAATGATGACTGACATTTCGGCCAATGAGTACCTCGAATACGGTACTCATGAGGACGCCATGTACGGCACCAAGGTAATACAACCACACCAAAAGAAAATACTAGTAATAATAAATATAGAAAACTTATTTTTATTATATTCAATTTATTTTTTATTAGGTATTTTTTTCTATCGATTTTTTACTTTATTATACCCGAAAGTTGTCCGAAATTTCCCCGATTTGCCCGAAAAAAAGAAAAACACAGCGTGGGGTAAATTTTTCATAGCCCCAGTTCACGGCAAGAATTATACAGGGTTGTTCACCACATACGACACGGAGTATTGTAGCTAAACGATTAGATTTTTACAAATTGTAAGTTTTAGGTTCGACTATTAGAGCTACAATTTAAAAGTAATCTTACGAGATACAGAGTGTCCCAAATAAGTAAAAAATATTATAGTTGTATTTTTTAAATGGAACACCCTGTTTATTATTCTATTTTTATATTCTACGACTGAAATAAAGGTAAATTTAATTCAGGTTTATCAAACTTAAATCTTAGCGTTTTTTGAAATATTTTCAATTATATGAAATTCCAGTAAAAATTTTAAGGCTTCATTTCTCCAAGGGTATCAACATTTTTAATACTAAATATTTACTGATAAATATTAAATTAAATAATTACTAGCTTTAAACGGCAATAACTTGTTTAATTTAAATGGAACACCCTGTATATTTTAGGAGAATCAGATGCACAATTTAATTGTCTGTCAAATTGTATTATACCACTTCTTACCTATCTCTTCAAGTTTTCGTAGAAAATGCATTTTCTTATAATCTAGACCTCATTTTCATTATACCCATGGAATATTGACATTTTAGATTATTTTTAATTTTTAAGATGTAATTAATTTTCAAAGAGTACAGGTACTATTGTCGTTATACTTCTCTTATTTCATTAAAAAATAAAAATAAAACTGTTTAAATATTTTTTGTTAAAGAGGACCAATTAATATGATCCCAGTGTTGAAATGTATTAATTGACTGTTTACGTTGATTAATAATAATTGATTTCATTTTTTAACGAATGCTTATTTATAACAACAAAATAGAATAATGTATTAATTAAAACTATTAAGTATGTAATTAACTAATTTTTGGGCGGAAATAATGGTGGTTTGTTTAATTGGCAGCTATACTCTTTTACAAAGATTTAAATAGTTTTCTTTTTGTAAAAATTTGTGCAATATTATTATTTTTACCACCTGTCCATTTTGTACATACCTATGTTGCTTTAAAAAAATCTAAAATGTCAATATTCCATGGGTATAGTGATAAATGAGGTTTAAATTATAAGTAAATGCATTTTCTACGAAAACTTGAAGAGATAGGTAAAAAATGGTATAATACAATTTGATAAATAAATTGTTCATCTAATTTACGTAAAATATGTAGGATGTTCCATTTAAATTGAACAAGTTATTGCCTTTTAAAACTAGTAATTATTTAATATAAATTTTTGGACTTCTGTATATAAATATTTCAAAAACGGTAAGGTTTAAGTGTGATAAACCCTAATCATTTTACTTATTTGGGATACTCTGTATCTTGTAAATCTGCATCCTGTAAATTATTTTTAAATTGTAGCTCTAATAGTTCTTCAATGTACCCAAGACTTACAATTTGTAAAAAATCTAATCGTTTAACAGCAATACTCCGTGTAGTATGTGGTGAACAACCCTTTATAAACTATTTATGTACGTAAAACTGCAAGAAAATTATTTCCACTTTGCATATCCAGGCTTTCGAAAAATGTATAATTTGCAAGTGTTCTGTACATAGATATCATTTATGATATAAAATTGAGAATATTTAAAAAACTGGAGTATATAAAAATTATTGGTGCTTATATTTATTTTACACGGCTGACAATTTTATGATTTCTGTTTAAAATCATAAAATTATTAGCTACTTAATACCGGTTTCATTTAAATTTGATACTTTTAATGAACGGGTTATGTGAACAATCCTCTGTATACGAATAACAGTAACTATATTACATTTTCTAATCTCGATTTGATAAAAACGAGAAAATTCTCTTTAAATATTAAGAACGTTCTGTTTTCTTATTCCACAGCTGGATACGATAAGAAAGATCCACCAGGAGGGCAAGATGGCCATCTTGGACGTGGAGCCGCAGGCCCTGAAGGTGCTCAGAACAGCTGAGTTCGCCCCTTACGTCGTTTTTATCGCGGCGCCGGTGCTGCAAAATATCGCAGACGTGAGTAGATTTTTTCGTGTTTTTGTGTTGAGGTTTTAAAGAAGAATATTCGTTCCGTTTTTGAGATCTCAGAGAGATTGTATCAGCGATATTTCTTGAAGTTGCTGATGGTTTTTACAAAATATTGTCCTTTGTATTCGACATGTTTAAATTTTAAAAAAATACAGGGTGCGCATAATTTAAAATTATTTTGAAATGTATAGGGTATGTCAGAACTAAGATCCACATCAAAGTTATATTTTTTCTTATAGAACACCTGGTATTTTATTTCATATTTGGATCCTTCGACACAAAATAAGGCATTTATTATAAGGGTTCAATATGTTTAGAAGCTTTGGTTTTTGAGATATTTAAAGATATTTAAATTATGCATACTATAATAAAAAAAATTGTCAACACCCTGTACATTACTTTTCAGAATTAATTCTTGTGCCGACTTATAAGCCAGAGAAATAAACTTTACTGAAAAATTTGATTGCTGCAAAAAAATGCTGGTCTATTTTAAATGTTTATTTTACATAAAAACTTCGTTATTTCAAATGCACCCTGTATTTTTTAACATAAATCGAAGCAGATTCAATATCTGTTTCAAACTATATTAGGATTTCCTATACCTATCTCAAATTTTAAATAAAGAGCAATTTTTCAATAAAATGTCAACCAAGAGGGCTGGTGTCGTCATGGCAAGTTTGTAGTGACCTTTGAATAAGAAGACTAAGGAAGGAGCATAATGCTATCCATGTATTCATGCATGGTGGGCGGAAAAGCCACCATAAAAGCTCTCTAGGGTGGGGATCCTTGACAGTTCTGTTTGACGATTCATTTGACACATTTGAATTTGATTTGAAATTTTGTGGATTTGTCAGTCTTTACGGAGCTTATTTTATGTTATTTATTATTTATTCTACTACTGATAGTTGTATAAAGGTAGTAAATCTAGATGGAAATTGTGGCAGAACTTAAATTAACAGTGATACTATCGCGATTTATCGAAAAAGACTCTAAAATAGTTGGTAGTGTAGCGTGCGGTAGATCTCGGCAAAAACTGAGTGAAATAATGGAACAACTGTTCGCTACTAAGTGACTATATAATATACATACGTGTAGTAAACCGATCATTTATGAAATTCACTTAAATTAATTAAATTATATATTTTTCTTGCATTTATTTATGCTTTTATTTATTACTTGCTTTTATTTATTACTTGTCAAAGATTAGATGTCAAAGAATTTAGATACGTTAATTTGACTTACCTGCTTCAGTAGCGTATCGGATGTTTGTGTTAATAAATACTTATTATAACTTATCTATTTTTATTAGAATTATATATTTTTATAACAATTTTAATAACTACCAACATTTATTTACAACGTAAAATAAAACAACAAATTATTGAGTCTACCCCACGTCTACCCCACATCATAGTTTTACATTTTTTAAATAAAATTAGAACGACACTGATAAACCGGAATTTAAGTCGGCCATATTTGAGGCCCATCGCGGTCTACCTAAGATTTTTGATATGCTCCTTCCTTAGTCTTCTTATTCAAAGGTAGTGACAGTAGCTATTTTCAAAATCGAAATTAATTCATGGGCTTTATTTAATTTTATAGCCAGTTTACTTTTATTGAATTTACCTATAATAATTTAATAAATATTTATTAAATATGAACATATTTATTATTCTATCAAGAACAACGAAGAAGTAGTTCTTTGATTTATTTTACGATGACTTGAGATATAATATGGATTTTCTATAAAAGAGCCAATTACGGAAAATTCATTTTCTTTACTTCCAACGATAGGTTTCTGCCTAATAGGTTTTTTATAAACCACAACTACCAGCTCTGCAAAATAGGACAAGTAGTTTTTCAAAGGAACGCTTATCAGGAATAATTCCTATTTGGATATCTTTGAGCATAAGCCATTGATGCTAAGGAGCAATTTTCCTGACAAAATAAAATCACTAGTAACATATCTATTCATTCCGCCAGCAGATACTGCTTTATTTTTCTTGATAAAATAATGAATACTTACTTATTAAACTATTGTGGGTAAATTCAAGTAAACTTAAAATAACTTATAACTTTAAAATTCAATTATAAATTTAAATAATAATGTTCATAAACTAATGTCGATTTTGAAAATAGTTACTAACTGTCACTAGAAAATTGCCATGGCGACACCAGCCATCTTGATTGTCATTTTATTGAAAAATCGGGTTTTATTCAAAATCTGAACTAGATAGGTATAGGAAACCCTAGTATAGCTTGAAAGAGCATTTATTTTAAAAAATACAGGATGTTGCATTTGAAATAAAGTTTTTATGCAAAATAAATTTTTAAAATAGATCAACAATTTTTGGTACTCCTGTATAAATTTAAGGCAGCAATAAAATTTTTCAGTATAGTTTATTACTCAACCTTTAAACTCAGCACAATAATTAATTCTGAAAAGTAATCTAATTAACTTTAAATATCTCAAAAACCAAAGATTTTAAACATATTTAACCCTTATAATAAATACCTTTTTTTGGGCCCAAGAATCCAAAAATGAAATAAAATACCGGGTGTTCCATAAGAAAAAATAAAACTTTGGTATGGATCTTAGTACTGAAACACCCTGTATATTTCAAAATAATTTTAAATTGTGCACATTGCATCCCCACATATACCCATAAAATATTTTGTTTCATCTTTCCGTTGTCGTATAATCAACTGAGGCGAATGAGTGCGCCATCCTGTATAGTAATTGTACAGGGTGGCCCATCGAAAACGTTCCGCAAGGCATAACGGCTAGGGTATTCTTTTTTTCAAAACTTTTGCCCCAAAAATTATTGCGAAATCTTCAACCCTCTGAGCGGGAGTGTCATCCCCCAACTTTTTTCAAATGGGAAGGGGGGTCAAGTGGCGCCGCAATGAAAAGAGCTTTCTATTCTCTATATTTCCCTGCCTCGTTTTTGAAAATCGGTAGAGTCATTGAGGAAATATAAAGGATTGAAATTTGAAAAGTTGATTTAAACATTTATCAGAGTAAATGATAAGGATAAATTCCTTCCACCAATTTGAGGTTTTTTCTTGTTATTTCTAGATGTTTACGCATTTTTTCAGTTGCCACAAGGTTGAACGATCAGGTGCGGTAGTTGATAGATAGCTGCTCTGTGACTTGTGCGTTGAAGATCTTCTCAATATCGTTAAACTGACCCCCACAATAGAATTTTCAAAAATACCAGCCCACACGTTCAATTTCTGAGGATTTTGTGTGTGCATCTCGTGAAAAACCCTGGGGTTGTCTTCAGCCCAGTACCAACAGTTGTGCCGATTAACTACACCGTTCAAAAAGAAAGTACACTGATCCAAAAAACACACATTAAATAGGAAATTATTATCATTCGCACTTGTTCACTCATAGTTTCACAAAATTGCAAGCGACGATCAAAATCGTCTTCGTTGAGTTCTTGTACCAATTGAATTTTGTACGGGTGGAACTTGCTTTTTTTAATATCCTTTGGACACTTGTACGATTCACGCCGGTCTCATTGGCTAATTTTCTTGTACTCAGCGTACTATCCATGGCAACTTGGCCCAATACGAATACCTCCATAGCTTCATTTACTACGGAACTTTCCCTCTGCCTCTTTTTATTCATAACGGAACCAGTTTCGCGAAATTTTGCTGCTAACTCGCGAACAATTTTGCAATAAAGGTGGTTGTCAGGATGGCGTTCATTGCCTGCGCAACCTGATTGCCACATTCATTATTTTTAAAATAAAGTTCGATTATTTCCACTTTTTCTGCAAGTGAGTATACCATAATAATTGTTAAAAAATTTACCGATATAACTTTAACGCATAACAGCTATCTAGCAATTACCGCATCTGGTCGTTCAACCTTGTGGCAAGTGCAAAAATGCGTAAACATCTAGAAATAATAAGAAAAAACAGCAAATTGGTCGAAGGAATTTATCCTTATCATATACTCTGATAAATGTTTAAATAAACTTTTCAAATTTCAATCCTTCATATTTTCTCAATGACTCGACCGATTTTCAAAAACGAAGCCGGAAAGTATAGAGCATAGAAAGCCCTTTTCATTGCGGTACCACTTGACCCCCCTTCCCATATGAAAAAAATTGGGGGATGACATCCCCGCTTAGAGGGTTGAAGATTTTGCAATCATTTTTGGCGCAAAAGTTGTCCCCCTCACAAACAAAATTGACGTGTTTTTGAACTTTCTATAAAAAATTACCCTGGCCGTTATGCCTTGCGGAACGTTTTCGATGGGCCACCCTGTATATTAAGTCGACAGTTCTCCTTTTTTATATCGGGTTGTTCAACATTGTTAGAAATATAGAAAATCCCATGCAAATTTTGAACTGTCCAAATATTGACTTCCCTGTAAATTTTACATGGAAGTCGTAAATAGTTTTTTAAAGGTCGGCGTATGCTGAATGCACATACCAAATATCTAATGTCGGGTCCAGACCAAGCAGACAAAACAACGACAAGACAGAAACATTCATGTTTAACGACCAAATTACGACAAATCCAATACATTTCTGCGACATTTTTGTCTCATTTTTGTTTTGTTTCAAATTTCGGAGACTTTTCAATATCCCGTCTCGAGTCGATAAAGATCAAAGTGTCTATGTTTTGTTCGTATATTTTACGACAAGTTGTCGGCGCAGTGTGGATAGCTTGTGCTACCAATAGTAGGATACCAGTGAAATCACACATGGTTAATAAAACTCATTCTCAACAACTAAACTTTTTTGACTTTGTTGTACTTTTGTCCTTGCGGTGTGGACAATTTTCTCAAGTTTATCTTGTCAGAATTTCCAATTTTTTGTCGCAAGTTTATCTTGTTTTTGTTCTCAAAATCGTGTTTACTTCTGTTATATCCGTTATATATTATTCTGCGTAACAACAGAAGTTGCAGCAACACAAAAGAATACTAACTTTATATCACGTAGATATACTGACTAGGCTTTTAGAGAACTT